GCTGAAATCAAAACCGGGACAATACTAGGTGAGCACCAGCCAATGAGATTGTCGTTTCCGCATTAGTTCCGCCTACTACAGGAAAACCCGGCAGTTCTTAAAAGCTGAAGAATTCCAAAGGAACTCTGTTATTTTTACAGGAAAATACAACAAAGTATATCGTTTACATGTAGAGCATCAATTCTGCATGTTATGGTAAGACTCTCTCTCGCTCTCGCTCTTTTGCGCGTGTGAGAGAAAGCGATGGCGAGTCGTGCGCCTTCACACTGGAAACACATTACGCCAAGTGTAGAGGGTTGACAGTCTATGAGCACGAAGCGCTTACGATGTGCGCACATTGTAAGCGCTTCGCGTTAAAAACTGCAAAGCACAAAGGGAAGAGAAATTGATGCGTAGTGTATTATATCTGTGCAACAGTTATTGAGCCTTTATTTTAACAGTTTTACATTTCAGTTACTGTGCACGTTAAAAACAATTTATAGTCTTTTCTACACCCGTGTTTTGTTCTCACAGACACCCAGTAGCAAGTAACAAAACAACATTAAACTCCGGCAAGAAGATAAAGTCCTTTTTGCAAAATCATAGACATGTATTTACAAATCAAGTATAATGGGAACACATACAGTATGTGGAAAATAATGTGTTTTTTTAACCTTAAACCGCATAAACACATTTCATTACACCAAATACACAAAATAATGTTATTTTTAACAACATCATAAGTTCCACTCAGTGGTTTAAACAATGCTGTATTTGTTCGGTACACACCGAAAGACCCATACCAAAAATTTTCGGTACGAATACGTGTGCTGTTACACCCCTATGATATACCTATCAGACAGGCTAGGAAATACTCTCCTGTATAGAGCGCAGCAGTGTGGGATTTTTATTTCCAGTGTTCTGTAAGTAGAAACTGAATATGAAAGGACTGTTTATGTGTTGAGAAAAAGAGGTTAAGCCAATAATGATGTTTAGGTATGTTATTTGGCCTCAGACATGATGCATGTGGCCTGTAATACTAGAACACATAAATTGACTTTCATACTCTTTTCATTTCATGAACACAGCTGACATAAAGCTAATCTATTTCCAAAGAGGCCATAACTTGTGGAGTCTTGTAGGCTGGCATTTCTCCACTGTGCCTGGTATTTCTCACATTAATTTATTATTATTATCAATAATATTTTTCACATCAAATTTCCTCCTAAACAGAATTGCCACATGCTTTGATCCACTTGTGAAATGCTCTATGATTTTCTAACACACTGGGTGAGGTTATTTCTTCCCACTTTCATTCTCTAGACACTTTCTGAGGTCTGCCGCCATGGCTTTCTGCGATTGCATCCCTGGCTCCAGCTTTCATTATGAGTGCTGGCAGGAGATGAGAAAACCACTGCCAGAGCTGGCAACCTCTCTCACCGAGAAACCAATCTCTAACCCACAGGCCAATGTAAACACTAGAGTTGCCCAGTGTAAACGGACAAATCAGAGTGAATGAGAGCGAGAGCGAGAGAGAGAGGGGCAGAGGGTTTTTGGGCTGTGTTCCAATTGCTCTCATTCCAGCATAAAAACTGATAACTGAACTCACATGGAATTTGTGCCAGAAAACTCCACAGAATTTGAACTCAAGTTATTTACAAAATTCTACATACCCTTGGTCCTTATGTTTCTTTAGTTTAACACAATTTACCCTGTTTGAATTTCAGAGTTCCACACATTTTCTCTCCGAAATCTACATTGAAAATTCAAAGGTCTGCATATTCTGCATGGTTATCTTTAGGCACAGAAATTTGCCACATCAATATCCTATAGCTTGGCCTTAAATTTACTAACAGATTTACTGAGTGTTTATATATCAGTAAGACTCGGTGTATAATTCAAACACATGTTGAAAGTGAGCTAAAGAAACACTTTTTGGGCTAAAATTGTGCTTGCATAAATTTATATTGGTCAGGTTTTTGCATGATTACACAGAATATAGTTAGTGGTAGATTAACTTGTGTTGGGACTCAAACTCACCCAGTTCATGTTTGCCAGGATTGTCTGAGATTTCCATTACATACAGTTTAAGGCCCATGTAGCTTTTGCCAATGCTGTAAATGTGGGTGATATCAGGACACATCTCGTTCACAGACTTCATGAGCTGAAAGACAAATGATTATGCATTAGCTTATTCTTACTTAATGTACCCTAAGGACACATCACATTAAAATGACAGTAAAAGTGACAAAAGTGAATTGATCAAACATGGTTTCCTTAAAAAATGATAATAATAAGAAATGTTTTTTGAGCAGCATATCATAATGATAATTTACATTTCGAACTATATTAAAATAGAAAACACTTACATTAAATTGTTACAGTTTTCCACAATATTACTGTTTTCAGTGTGTTTTTGATTAAATAAAAGCAGCCTCGGTAAGCATAAGACATTTATTTAAAACACTTTAAAAAATCATACTGACCCCAAACTTTTGGACAGTAGTGTATGACAAAGCGCATATTTTCCTTCAGATCAGTGAGCATGGAGAATATACTAAAACATTCCTTGCATTTATCTTTCTGTGTGTAAAGTAAAATAACAAAAATGTGGCTTTTGTTACCTGCCCGCAGGGTTGTGTTAATGTAGACACTGTTGCATAATAGTGGTCAGACTGACCACAAGTGATCCGCAAGGCAGTGCTCACATCGTGACGTGACAATCTGGAAAAATGTTTGTTTTCTCACCAGGGCTGGTTATAAGATCATGCGGCCTGACTGAAAGACCAGCTCTATCAATCTGAAGTGCACTGTAATTGCATGTAGGGCTGCTGGCTTTAAGTAGCAATTGTTTTTTTATGATTCACAGTATTTATTTATCTTCAATAAGCAAATCAATTTACTCCATTACACTTAGGAATTCTACAGGGCCTGCTATATCATTTTTAATCTGCAATATCTCAGTGGGTTTCACCATTTCATATTGACTAAGCAACAACAAAACAAGGTAAGAAAATGTCTTTCTCACCTTCCTCATCTCTTTGTAGTTATGATGTCTGAAGTCCAGTTTGTCCTTGGTGCCTTCCTCAGCTTGCCATGGGTAGATATTGTTTGGATCTTAAAACACAATGCACAATTCACGAATATTACTATGCCCACATTTAATTCACAGTAGTATATTGTTACTTATGTACTTATCAATTGAATACATTTGAATAATGCGTTGTTTTCCTTAGACCTGTGATCTCCATGATATGTCAAAGAAAGATCTTCCATATGTGAGATGAATGAAAGGTTTGTGTTTGGCATACCTGGCAGCTCACAGCCCATAATTTCAGCTCTCAGACAGATGGTCCCATTCTTAAACCAGGTCTGAGGGTTAATGCGTATGTATTGTGCCACCGCCGGCTTGGGCAAAATGGCCAAGACTGGCGTTTCGCTGTCCTTGTTCCCCTCAAACACCTGTTAGCATACAAGATCACTTCTGGTGAGTGATCCTATTGATACGATCCAAATGACATTTGCCAGTGGCAGCTGGCACTGCACCTCATTCTAGTCTATGCCCAAGGAGGGCACACGAGAGACTGGCACAGCGCAGTCCGCAGTGGGCAGGCTATTCTTTTCAAAAGAGCCGCTTAACCCTGCCAACTACTGCCAGCGCCTGCCTCCAACCTCTGTTAGTACAAACCACCCTGTGCCAGCTGGAAATGCTGAATGGATATAATGATGTCACAAAGATACTGAGGCTAATATACACCAGCAGCAGTCAATGGCACAACCTACTGTCTGGAAAACGGGGCTTATTTTAGATTATCTCTGTTAAATGAAATGAAAACTGTAATTCAGCCTCAAAATTATGCTTAATAGGGTCATATAATGAGAAATACTGTTGTTTCTAATACTGTTGTCTTTTCAAAACAATTTTTTTTTGACAAAATAGAGAACTGTCTTCTACACTGTAAAAAGTGGCAAGAAAAAAAAAAGCGATTTCTACACGATTTTACTTTTAAAAATGAATTATGTTGGTATAAAATACTGCATTTAGGTTGACTGTGATATTAAATAGCATATTTGACTTGAATAAAACTAGTTAATTTAGATGTTACTATTTTTCACTATGAAATTTTTTTTTTTTTTAATTGAAACAAAAATGGCAACTTTCTGACATCATATTTATGTAAATGTTTTCACTTGGGTGTACATATACTACTGGTTAAAAAAATAAAAAGTAACAATTAAGATTTTGAATTGAAACAAAAATGGCAACTTTCTGACATCATATTTATGTAAATGTTTTCACTTGGGTGTATATATACTACTGGTTAAAAAAATAAAAAGTAACAATTAAGATTTTGGAAGATTTCTGAAGACTGGAGAAGGGCTGTTGACAATTCAACTTTGCATCACAGGAATAAATTACATTTTAAGATATATTAAAATAGAAAACTATTGTAATATTACTAAATTGGAATAATATTTCACAATATTACTGTTTTACTGTATTTTTCATCAAATAAAGCATTGGTGAGATCTCTTTCAAAAACATTAAAAAACTTTATTATTTCACCTTTATTACTTTTTACTGGTAGTGTAGAAAGTATAAAAAAGACAATTTCTTTTTACACTTGATAACAGAGACCAACATACCGCCTCTTCTGTTCCATTCATGCATGGCTTCCATTTAATGGTGTCATTGCTAACTTGAACCTTGAAGGTTTCTACATAGTCCAAGCTGCAGAATAAAAGTGGCATATTGTTATTATTAGAATTTACTATTTCTTTTAATTATGGCATTGTAAAGAAATATATTATGACATGAAGTACCTCCATATAGAGCTGCGACCCTGTAGTATCACTGCTGTGAACCGTGTGAGCTTCTTGGCATCTATCTGTATCCACTGGTTCTGGTCTTTATACTGGGCGCACCAAGCTCCATCATAGATATCGCCATCCTCCACACCAGACTGCAAAAACAAAACAAAAAAACAATGAAACGGTGGTCCATGTTAATCTGAAAACCACAAATTGGCAAATATGCTGATGATAATGGATACTATATTTATGGTGACATATACACTGAAACATTGAAAAGAACAGCATTTATTTGAAATAGAAATCTTAACATTATAAATGTATTTACTGTCACTTTTGATCAATTTAATGTGTACCTGACTCATTGCTAAATAAAATTATGAATTTCTTTCAAAAAATACTGACTTCCTGACCCTAAACTTTATAGGACGTTAGTGTGTATGTATGTGTGGCCCACCTGTATGTTGAGTCGGCCCCTGTGTGGCCCCAGGCCCATACGCTTGTAAGAAGAGGCCTGAATCTGCGAGTCTTTAACTTTCAGAGACTCCAGACCCAAAGGAGGACACTCTGAGAAAGCAAAAGAGATGATTTAAAGTGGAGGAGGGAAATAGAAAAAAAAAGAAACATTGTGTGCTCCTTAGATTTTTGAGCCAAGTGGATTTTGTATGCTATTACTAAAAGAACTGTTTAGTAATCCGTGCATAAGATTTTACATTCGGTGCAGCTGCAGGACAGACAAGAAACTGTTGTTTGAGGAGTCCAGCGTGGCCCATCCGCTTTTCAAATACTTTCTCCCTTCTCTACCAGGCTGTTTTGTAGTGTGTCTTTTGTAGTGTTCCTATCTGTTTTTGAAGCCTTTAGGATCCATTCTGGAAACACTGATACCACTATGTGGAAAAAGTCCAATTCACTATTGCAGGAACACCCAAATGTTTTCTGTCAGCTGAACCCATTTGACCTAAAATAGTTACTTGAAGTGAAGTGAATATTTCAATAATTTAACAACACATTCACATATTCACATTTTTCTGATGTCAGTTAATGGTTGCATGATATGCAGATAAACAAAACATTTCATCTTTCATTTGATTTTGATTTGTCTTTGTTTTTAATTTTACATTTTTTATGATTTAGCTTTTCATTAGCTAAGCTATCTATTGCAGTTCCCTCACAAACCTGCAAACCCCAGTTTCGTAAAACCTGCACAATTGGGGAAACTCGTACCTCTGAGATGGGAGTTCACTATAACAACATGAATGTCACACATTTAAGTCGGTAAAATAACATGGAAGTAGCCTAAATAAAACATATTATATTATATATTATATTATGAACAATAAACCTAAATAACTACATATAAATTCAAAATGATGAACAATATATATTTCTGTAACTTATACATGATATCACAACTACATGTAAAACAAACTGTATTAGTTGAGTAATTAACACCATTTGCAGACGTTCATAGTTCATAATAACTGTCTTGTAAACAAAACCCTGTTCAAAGCAATAATGACTCGTTGCATGTGATGCACCACATCCTGCCAGAATGTTTAGTTTATAGTATTTATTATAAATATACGTCAGTATACAAGTGCCTTAACACACGCCCCAAATCCTGCTCACTTTAAATATTTTCCACATGAATTAACTGCTGCTGGTGGGGGCTTCATGCTCTTTTAAGGCAAGTTTAAGTAAATATTTTAGGTTTCTCTTTACTTACTTACTTTACTACTGACCTCCCAGTTAAACTTGTGAACTTATTAATGAGCAAAAAGCTTGCATAATATTTCCGGAAATGTCTTGTTTGTTACTGGTTAGGATTATTGTAGCTGATTGAGCATGTTGCATTTGAACTTTTGTACTGTATATGGACATCATGTAAAAGTGATGAGACTCTGATGAGACTTTCAGTGAGAAACAAGCACATCTGATTCTTGTGGGTGAGTCAGTCGGATGGTTTGTGGAGTCAGCATTCCTCACCAATTCATCTGAAAATGGGGAGATTTCCTGGCACTGCTGATGTTTAGATGACCCAATTACTTTGACCAGGGCTATTGTCTTGCTGTCCTTTAAACTGTTATATGGTCCAAGTTGAGCTTTATAATCCTAGCATATGTTCTGTACATGTCCTTATTTTAATTAACGTTGTTACAAGATACATGACGGAAAGACGGAAAGTAAGATTTCCCCATAATTCTGACCATAGAGAATTCCTCCAGTTGAATATAATCTATGGAAAATCATGCTTTTCAGCTCTATGGTTTTTGTTTGGTTAGTGGAGAAAACTATTTCACTGACGTGTGACCCCATTGCCTTTTGAAACAGGAAGAGGACTATTTTGTGCAGTGTTTGAATATGGCTGGAATTATGTAACAACACTTGCTTGCATTTTTATGAATTGATAACCTGGGAGGATTTTTTTTTTTTAGCATGGATGGATGGACAGATTATGCATGCATAAATATATGAATGGATGGAAGTACGGATAGATACATGTAGATAGATGTTATGAATACAATTATATGTTACATTAATAGCATTATTATCAAAACCTGTGCTTCTTCACTTTGTCTTGTCTTCCAAACTCTCCATTCCACTTTTAAAACTTATGTATTTGTATATTGATATAATTCTTATTGTCCATTTTATTGCAGTAATTAAAACAAAAAATTCAATTGCATTAACATATTGTATAATATTATCAATATAAAGTAATAGTTTCTTTTTTAGAATATTTTATTTTAAAGTATAATTTTATCTGTGGCTAAACATTCATTTCCAAAAGTGGAAACATAAGTGTCACGTTTACTTACCAAATACCGGTGGTTATGTAATGCAATTGTATATTGTATAATATTATCATTATAAAGTAATAGTTTATTTTTTAGAATATTTTATTTTAAAGTATAATTTTATCTGTGGCTAAACATTCATTTCCAAAAGTGGAAACATAAGTGTCACGTTTACTTACCAAATACCGGTGGTTCTTTATTTTTTGTGTTCCAAACTCTCCGTTCCACGTTTTTATCAATGTTCTCATTCAGGTCCTCTGTGTTGAAGCGCACTGGGATGGTCCTCGTTTTTGTGGATGGTAGTGTTGGCTTCACTGTTGTTGGCTTCAAGGCTTTTGTGCTCACCTCAGTCCATTTCACAGTGGGCTTCAGAGTTTTTGTGGTACCCTTAGTTGACTCGAATGGCTTCACTGTTGTGCGTGTGGGAGCTCTGGTGGCCGGAGTGGGTTTAAATGGCGTGCCTCTCAGAGGTTTGGTGCTTCCCTCAGTGGGTTTCAGAGCTCTGGTGGTCGCCTCAGTGGGTTTGACCGTCTTGGAGAATCTGCTTACCTTAGTAGGTGAGATGTTTCCATAAGCGCTGGTGGTCCTGTGTTTAATACGGGCTCTCCCGCTTCCAGTTGCAGATGATGCTTGAGTGTAATTTAAATTATATGATGCAGTTGTAGCAGATTTTTTAAGAGAAGGCGAAGTAGTTACTCCTCCGACTAAAACAACAATAAAAGTTAGCAAAGATAAAAGTAAAACGGTTGGTGCCATGGTTCCCTCTCAGCCCAGATATATTGCTCTATCTGAACACATAAACTCCGTAATGTTGCAAAATCACGCGCCACTAGTGATGCAAAGCAAATGTGAGACCATATTACTGTGAATAGAGGGAGAGAGAGTTTGAGGGGAAAATGTGTGCCATACACTTTTCTTTGCACATTTCTCATTTTTCTTCTTGGGTTTTCTCTTTCTGTTTTCGTTAAAAATATAGTACTTTGAGCATCATGATATTATATATCGTTTTTACGGTATTACTTGTGCCTTTCGAATAATTTTTCCACTCAAAAAAAGTTGAATATTTATAGTCCCAATTAATGGGATTAGTTCGCCATCTAGTGGCGATAACAGGCCAGACTTTTTAAAATAACTTAACTGGAATAGTTGATTAACAATTGGGAAAACTCGTGCGAGTTGTTGTTTAAGACCTGTTAGGTATATATATTAAGTGCTATTATCTAACATAAAATGAATCGAGTATATTTAAGGTACAACATATGTCTGTTTAAATGTCTGCTCAAATCCTGCTTAAATGGTCGTTTTGGCCTGTACTAACTCCAGGGCCGGTGTCAAGTGCATAGGCTTTCTAGCATTAAAGGGGTCATATGATGCTTTTTTAAAGATCATTATTTTGTGTATTTGGTGTAACAGAATATGTTGACATGCTTTAATGTTCAAAAAACACATTATTTTTCAAATACTGTACATTATTGTAGGTCCTCTATGCCCCGCCTCTCTCAAACGCTTTGTTTTCTACAAAGTCCCTTTAAATAACATTGGGCTTATGCAGCAGCCTTGTCTCACTCCACGCTCCTCTCGCTCTTTCGCGCGCTCTCTCTCGCGCGCTCGCTAGCACTCTCTCTCTCTCTCTCTCTCTCGCGCTCTCTCTCTCGCTCTCTCTCTCGCTCTCTCGCTCTCTCTCTCTCTCTCTCGAGTCTTAACTTTGATAAAGAATATCTCTTTGGATTTGAGACTTTAGTCTTTGCAACTTCAGGGATCTTATCTATTCACAATCAGCTTGTAACACTCCAAACAGAAAGGAAAACTTGAAATCTCATCATATGACCCCTTTAATATTATGCTGCTATAGTAAAAATTTAGGACAGTCCTTTTCACAAAGTCACATTTTAATTGTTACATTTGACAGTGACACACAAACTTCCTGCGCAACTACGAATGCAGCTCTACTGAGTAAGCTAAAGGTATGATGATTTTTTTTTTTAATGTTTAATAGAGGGCTAGTTGATCGTAGTTCGTTGATTATTTCTCTGTTATTGTGTTGTAGTTACTAACCTCCTGACTTTCTTGGCTGTATTCAACAAAATCACATTGTCAAAATGAATGACATAATCCGTTGAATTATTATTCAGTTTATTCTAGTAACTATTTTTAATCAGCTAATTTTAATTACCAACAACACAGTATGTGGCTGCGTCCAACATTTTGCATGCCACCTTGTTAAAGAGTGATTTTAAAACATTCGTGACATCAAAGAAGTAACATCACTTGAATCCTTTTTGTAGAATGGAGGGAATTAAATGACTTGAAAAATTCAATTTTCTCACATATAGACACAGTGTTGACTACTTGATTTCATTTTAATATCAATTTAATTTTGATATTTTGCTGCAAACCCCCCATATGGAAACTTCCAGAAAATTAATTGTCAGGAATGAGAACAGTGTCGTCGTGTGTGTGTGTTAATCATGAGTATAACAATGAAAAGCAAATCCAAATTTGAATACACACTTATCATCTTGCTAAATTTTACATTCATAAGTGTACATTTTCAAAGAAAACTCCCTACTTTTTTATTTTCAGGAAAGATTTTGATGTGTATGTAAACTCTTTAAGAAATTAATAATTCTATTGCATGTAAGACTCTTTCATGGTGTAAGTCTTATAAGCTAACATAGTATGCTTTGGAGTATTGTTTGTTGTCTTTGTAATTGTATTTGCTGTTCTTCTATTGCATAATTAAAAAAAATTAAAAAAATACACACTTATCATTTGTTAATAACAACATTCCACTAGATGGCGACAAAACACTGTGTATTTTTTAATGTGACAATTTGATAGCATATAGAAGTTTGAGCGTTTAAAACACGAGGACTCGTTTGTGGAAGGGTTCATTATTAGTAGTAGTAGATTTTTGGGCAAAACTAAATAAAACGCTCAGACAGTTCTGATCAAATAAATAAGATATTGTTTATGCGTGGAAAGATGGACTTGAAATGTTGGTTATTTGCACTGCTGACTGTCTTTCATGTCCAATCTGAGCTCCTGCTGAGCTTTACTATAGTAACGAGGTTAGAGACCCCATCACCATCAATTATTAATGCATTACGCGCTTCAATAAACTTCATACAACCATTTCAGAAATGTGAAAAACAGACAAACAATTCTGAGCATTTAAAGCGGTTTATCATTTTAAGTTCAATAAATTATTGAATGAGTGGTGTTTTCTTCTTCTTTTCGTTCGTAAGTAATGCTTGGTCTAGTTTCCATTTCTCATATAAATATTTCAGAGGTCTTTTGACATCATAAATTAGTTTAGTGACATTATGCATGGAATGTTAATGCAGGTAGCCTAAACCTCAGGTGATGGAAATGTATGTATTATTTGATTATTTATATGATTTAATGGTGCTTGTAAGTCTGTCTAATTTTGAACGCATTTATTAGTGTCTGCATAAGAACAAAGCTAAGCGAATGAAACTTAATATTTGAGACCTTTGTGCTGGAGGGTGTAGTTTCCTGAAAAATTCAATTTAGTCTTCTCTCCCCCCTCTCTTTCTCTCTCTAACACAGGGGTGCCCAAACTCGGTCCTGGAGGGCCAGTGTCCTGCAGAGAGGGCACCCCTGCAACACATGCACACACCGGATGTGAGAAAAAACATGGAGTTTGCATGGAAATTCCTTTCCTCAACCTGTCAGTTTCTCCCATCACCACCTACAGTGAGGAGTGAAATGTCAATGCTTAATAGGAAACTTAACACTGCAAAATATTCATAACCTGCTCTACTTATGTGCTATATAGAGACTGTTGCGCTGTTATGTTGACTGTGTAGGTGTTAACATGACTTTATTGTACACTGTCTGGGGTCATCTTTACTGGACTACTAACTATGCATGTCAAACCATAAGTGAATAATTTGTCAGGTGGCTGATGCTGTCATGTAGCATATGAAATTGGTGGGACTGGTGCTAGGAACTGCAATGAAACTAGAAGAAAACATGCTTATTGCTCCCAGCGGTCTGCTTTGGCACAATAGTTGTTATGATTATAGCTTTATAAATTTAGTTACTAATTAGACTTCGATTGTACAGATCAATTAAATATAGCCTCCTGATTTTATATCAGATTGTAAACAAGTTTAGGGGTCTAAGCAATTATTTAGAGCTCCCTTTTTGTATATAAACAAATTGTAAAATATTATATTCATGTATATATTCTTACAAATGTATATATGGCAAGGAAAAAGACATCAGGTGTTCAAATTATTTATTATTTATTATTGAATAATTTATAAAAAAAAATGTATGGAGAAATAAATAATATATAGATAGATAGATAGCTAGATAGATAGATCGTTTCATACATGTAAAATTACTTAATAAAATTACTTAAATTATTAAATAATAATAGTTAAATAAAAATTATTAAAATTGCTTGATAGAATAGGCACATATACATTAAATATAAAATGTTTTAATATATATCAGCTTTAATATATATATCAGTATAAAATAAGTATGTATATATATATTTGTATATATATATTTGTATATATATTTATATATTAGTGCTGTCAAATGATTAATCGCGATTAATCACATCCAAAATAAAAGGTTTTGTTTACATAATATATGTGTGTGTTCTGTGTATATTTATTATGTATATATAAAGTCACACACATACAGTATATATTATGAAAATATTTACATGTATTTACATGTATATATTTATATTCACTTTGTTTACAATATGTTATGTAATATATTTAGAATCTAGAATTAGATTTAGTCTTTCTGTCATCCACTATACACACACACAAATATATAATTTTCAAAATGATGTCTGGTTCCGTGCAATCTTCAGCTGGTCTGTTTTGTTAATTCTGAAGTCATGCGAGTTTCATTAGGAGCAGGTCTAAGTAGTGTGTGTGTGTGTGTGTGTCCTGTACAGTGACCCAGCAGCAGTGCTATGAGAGCTAGCAGCATGCCGCTCCTTTAATGACCTATGAGAGCTGTGGACCCAGGCCATACACGGGGAACCTGAGAACCTGCTGAGCAACTTCTGTTGATCTAAGCCAGGTGAGGGGCCCAGACTTCTGCGAGACAGAGAGAGAGAGAGAGAGAGAGAGAGCGAGAGAGAGAGAGAGAGAGAGAGAGAGCTGGGGACAAGACTTTGAGTGTGTGTGTGTGTATGGGGAGTTTTATGGCATGATTGTTGTTTGAATTATTGATAGCTTGGTATGCTACTCTCTAATCAGTTCTTGTACATTTCATGATTCACTATATGTGGGTTTGTTTCCCAAAGATGTCCTATTAATTTCTGTGTGCTTAATGTTTCTAAACATAGTTACGTGTGAATGGAAAATTCTGTTTTGTCTAATAAAACTACACACTGCAGATAAAGAGAGATTTTAAGGTAACACACTGACTCTGTGCTCTCGTTTTAAGCTCACTCAAATAAACCACAATATCGCTCATACAGCAGGTGAGCTGCATCAATTCACAGGAGTCCGTCATAGACCTCCACAGCCTGAGAAACTTAACCTCCCGATGAAAACGGCAATGTCCTGACCTAAAACCAGAGATGTGAACAACAGCAAATAAAACACAGGATATACTCAGTGAGTAAAGTTCCTTCAGATGTTTCTTTCATGTTCTTGTACAGCTTGATTATTTTTTTTTCGAGCTCCGCTCGGTGTGTCCTCTCATTACCACGGTGTACTACCTGAACGCTACAGGACTTCAGAATTATAAATATTAATTCTTCCCCTCACCCGAAAATCTAACAGCATGCTATACCTCACTGCTCAATTATTGATTTCCAGCAGGCTTATAAAAGTATTGAAACTCTGGATTGTTCACAAGAATTTGGAGAACAACTGGTGAGTAAATTCTATAAAATGTCTTGTAATATAATTAAAATATGTTTATTCATTATGAATTACTTTCCATAATTTACATTAGTTATTTAAAATGTTTTTATTATAACAATTCTATAATATTAATAATTTAATATTTTAATTTAACTTTTTAATGTTGTTTTATGTATTGATTTATATAGATAGATAGATATTTCTCAGATAAAATAATGCAGGATTGTGCATGTGTGGATTTATGCTAAATTGATATTTGGTGTAATTCCCATGTAAAGCATTTGAAGTGAAATCTTGTTAGATTTTGTATTGCATAATCGAGATTAATAGGGGAAATACATCTGGTGTGTTTTAGTGAAACGGAAACTGTGATCAGCAGGTGGCAAAAACTTCCCAAGACATCCCGTTATAGCATCAACATGCTGCAGTTTCGGCTTTGAGAATTAAAAAGTTGTATTCTTATATCTAGCAGAGCTTTTCTGCTAAATGTCAGTCATGTATGTGTAAAAATCCACAAGAAAAAAAGTTTATCCTTCCATAAAACTTTCCTCCCTTGACTTCCACTGATTCATCTGAAAAGAATACATGGATGAAACCCCCTCCCAAGACATTCCCTCTTCCATGAACAATAAATGTGGAAGTGTCATGTAATATTGATGGCTCAGCTGATGATCTCCTGACGACCCCAGTTTGGTCCCTCTCATGTTCTATAAAATATTCATGATCCTTGTCCCCTTCCTGCACCCACCCCCTCAGCATCCCATAATGCATGTGTGATGTTCTGCTGGGCCGCTCGCACAAAAACACACACCTAGCTGCAGGAGCAAAGAATGATGGGATATATACGCATGATCTCCTGTGGTGAAACCAGCTCTGAGTTTTTCTAAACTTAAAAAACAACACAGGTTTTTCCTGATTTCAGTTCCAAGTCTGGAAATTTTTCCTCCATTGTACACCTGACGTTCCCCACCCCTGCACTTTGAGTAATCTCATGACTATCATTAATGTCATTAAACTTTTCTTCTTCTCCTCCTCCTACTCTCCCTCTACCTGTTCACCTGCATCTGTTCTTTTGTCATTTTTATCAATGCGTCCTTCTTTTCCTCCTCCCTTGCGTTCTTCTATCCGTCGTTCTCATTAACACCCCGGCCCTGATAGATGTAAGTGGCCTACTGCTCCTTAAGAGGCTCTCTGGGGTGTCCCGTGCAACCCTGGCACCCTGTGTTCCTCTCCTTAGATCCGGACCTGTGCCATCTGCCTCTGTCACTGTCACCGCTGGGCACTGGGAGTCAGTGTGCATGAGGCAGCCCTCTTCTGCGGCAAGAAATCAACACACGTTGTGGCTGCTGCAGCTTTTCAGCCGGTAGGTATACTGGAAGTTTACTTTTATGTGACAAAGTTTATTAAACAATATTAAGTTTAAACAGGAGAAATTTAAATATTTTTTGTTGTCTCTTTGGTATGTCTTTTTGTGCAGTTTAGTCCATACTGTATTGTGATTTTTTTCGTTCTGTACTGTGATTGTTTCATTTGCTAATATATGTAAATATACACTACCGTTTAAAAGTTCGGGGTCAGCAAGATTTTTTTTAAATAAAAAATAATACTTTTATTCAGTGATGATGCATTAAATTGACCAAAAGTGACACTAAAGACTTTTGCATTGTTATAAAAGATTTGTTTCAAATAAATGCTGTTCTTTTGAACTTTCTTTTTTTTCCCCCAATATTTTTTTCCCCAATACATTACAATTATAATCAATACCCTTCCCTCCCCCCAAAAAAGAAAACTATGGGCCATATAATCTTGAGTCAACTATAACTATAACTATAGACCATATAATCTTGAGTCAAAAAACATTCCAGAATTGACAGTGAAGAAATCAAGTGTCCCATGTTTATTCAGTCCATAAGTTTATTTCTATTCATCAAATAATTCTGAAGAAAAAATATCACAGTTTACACTAAAATATTAAGCAGCTCAAATTTTTCAACATTGATCATAAGAAATGTTTCTTGAACAGCAAATCAGCATATTAGAATGATTACATTTTAAAATATATTAACGTACAAAAAAATTATTTTAAATATTTCATAATATTACTGTTTTACTGTATTTTTCATGAAATAAATGCAGGATTTCAAAAACATTAAAATATCATTCTGCCCCCTAAATTTGAAAAAGAAGTGCACATTTATATATATCTAAATAATTTTAATATGTGAAAATGAACAATGTAAAGCTGAATTTCCCCAGGCTTTCTAAACTAAATCTACCATTGGTCGGATGAACAAATAGCCACGCCCCCAACCCACACCATTGGTTGAGCCAGTGTTGCTTTGTTGTGCTGTTCAGAAAGCTAATGTTTTGACAGCACCACAAATACTTTTCAGATAAAACAACCTACAGATGGCTTACTTATAGTTGTCTTTGCATATTAAATTAGGACACAATAGGAAGTATTTTAACATTTAGCAGTAATAAATTATAAAATGCAAAAATATTTGTTTTTGTTCACAAATCGTACACAAAATGTGCGCCTTACTTTGAATGTTTGTCTGGCATGGAAAATGTAATTAACAAACCATGTTTGTGCCAACTTGAGCAGGCAATATGCTGTTTACCTAAACCACTATCTGAGCAGAGAAAACAAATATTTCTAGTTGAGAGAGGCGCTGAAAGTCCCACGGGGTCAGACTGGAGCTGTGTTCTCTCCAGCACCGTATCTCTGCACCTACCTCTGCTCGAGAGCGTTGGCAAACGCAGTCACCCAAGAAGGCGGGATACTTTTCCGTGTGGACGACAGGAGAGTGTGCGTTACCTGCCAGTGACTGTCGCGCAGCCAAAAGACGAAACCAGGATGGGGCAAATCAGACACATGCATGCAAGCAAACGTTCTATGCACACTTGTGTCCAACCCGTTCCCAGCTT